CTGAATATGACGTCAGCATCAAACGTAGACAGAGCCGAAAGATCTTTGATTGTGCCCAGATAAGCTAAAGCCCATATTTATACGGACTAACGCAAACACAAAATAGGACACCTGATAGTCTGAAAAAAAATAATACCTAATTTAAAAAAACTAATACCTCTCAGACTACATTTAACACTTTTAATGGCCTTAAATTTGACAATTTTGATTTATCACTTTTTAATACTTTTTAAAACCCCGCGGACACCCTGAGTTAAACTGCAATTCTTAAAAAGACTGATATAGATGGACATAAACTATCAGTAGATGTTTTCCGTCTTAGAGTTGTGTATTTTTTTTGCATGTTTTGTAATTATTTTCACGTCTTAAAAACAAATCATCAGTAGATGTTACCAGAGCATTTTGGACCTGTAAGTGCCACTAAGCTTGTGTTTTTATAAACACAAACCTAAATCAAGGCTCTTGTGTAAGTGTTTGCTAAATTAAATTTTATTTACTATTACTTCCTCGATGGTAACTTGCAGCCGATCTTGCTTTTATGTGCTAACAAACACAGCTGATGATGGGTGACCTAACTGTCCACATTTATGTACTTTATTGTTGCTTTTGTTGTGATGTTAAAATGAATGACAGCACCAATCAAGCAGTCTATCAGCGGCTCACATTCATATCTCTGTGTATACGGCAGTATTGGCATGCTGTTTAAAGGGGCTTTTCGGAGTTGGATTGGTCTCCTTGTTTCATCTTCGTATAACTATAAGGCCCCTATATGCACCTGTATGATATTTATGCAAAGTCTACTGTCACCACATGACCCTATAAATGACTTTATACTTCAATCTCATTCCTGCATTTCCCTGATCTGCACTGAGGTGTTCATGCAGCAGGCAGTTGTGCGTGTCTATGAATTTTAAATTCCTTACTAAGTTTTGAATTATGGTCTTGTTCTTGTAGTCATGTGAATGATTTTGCATTTATTTGGGGTCATAAATTCAATTAAACCGTATAAACTGTGTAATGTGCATCTAATAACAGACTGAGGTAGCAAAAATGTAAGGAAGGGTCAAGAAAACTTTTGTCGTTTTCTGGGGATGTTACCAGTTTCTCATTGACTTCTGTAGAGGAACTACATCATATGTAGGCTATACGCACATTTAGCCCAGAACACAGCATTTTTTTGGATGTTTGGTAAGTCCAGTCACGAGATGTACATAGTAAAAGCTGATTGTATTCCTATACCTTTAGGTTCGGCATCTTTAGGTTTGGTGATTAAAAAAAAGCAGACCTGGAAAAAAGTATTTTTTGGTACAGTCCAAATGAACCAAGTGAACCATACTACAAGTGTCACATCGTTTAAAAGGCATACTGACTCGTTGACTTACTCATTTTATCTCTATAGCAAAATGCATCAGTGTTTTTCACTGAACCTTAATGGATTTAGTTTCCCATGCAGCTTATCACTGAACAAAATCGCCTGTGTGAAGCTTTTGATTACTGAGTTTGCTTGTCATGTAGATGCAAATGTCTTCAGTATAATTAAAAACTATTTATAATTAATTAATATAAAGTACATCTCACAGTTATCTTGTCTGCCATGTTGTTAACTCCTGACTGTTAGGGTATTTCCTTCTATGTTCTATGCCTGTCATTCTCCCCGATTAATGGTAAATCTATTGCTGATTTCTATGAGAAATTATTCCATAGAAAATGCTTGCGGACTTCATTCAGGTACTACTGTAGTACAAATCAGCAGAAGGAATCTAACCTTTCTAATGTAATATTCAGGGGTCAATAATAGTTTGTGAAGGCAGTTAGCCTTTCATCTCAACGGCCCTTTTGGCATTTTGGTTTTTCTGTGCTCCATGTTCCTTTCTGCAGCTTTAATCTCAGTTGAAAACACAACCATGCATTACATACATCAATAAGTTCCTGCTGCGAGATCTCATTTCCTGCTGTCACCCGTGCGGACCAATGTCCCAGCATTCCCACGGCGAGAGCTGACTCTACTAGAACAGAATGGATGGCTCATGCTAATGATAATAAATCAGCTACGTCATCCAATCAGAGCACTGTTTTGCATCTGTTTGTGGTGCGTTCGTTGTCTTTTCTGAATGTCACCGAGAGTATGTTTGATTGTGTGTGCCAGAGGAACTTGTGTGGGTGTGTATGTTACAGAAAGAGAAGGGAAATGAGACAGACAAGGGACTCACAATAACCAATTCCCTACAGGGCATCCCTCTGAGCTGAAGGGAGAGCGAGAGAGAAAAATCTGTGTGTAAATGCATGTGATTGAATAAGACCGTACATAAGAGACTCCTGCAGTGATGAGTTTAAAGCCTCTACCTTATGTTCAAACATGAGATAAGTTATGTGTTTCAATGTGTTTGAGCCCAAAATAATAATAATAGGGCAGTACAGCTAACGTTGAAATGTATTATCATTTTCTTAATCCTACTTTTTATTTTCTCTCCCTGTGTGTGCACACTAAATATTAAATAAATTAATGAACTGATTAAATAATAAAAAATACCATTTTGTAAATATATATACTTTTTTTAAAATGTTTTTATTATATTACATTTATATAATGTATAATATAAAATTTTATATATATATATATAAAACTTAAATAGCCGTTTAATAGCCTATTTACATGCAAACTGAATGGTAATTGACGTCTATATGAATGTTGCTTAAAACCGCTAAAACATGCATGTCGTGACTTACTCCTCAGCCGTAACATACAGTGTCTCGTGGCTTATTGCTATAGTATTCATGTATGTGCATGTGTATACATCCATTCTTGATGTCGTCCAGTCGCTGAATGTGACTGATGTGATTTTTAGGGTAAAGCCGCGGTTACACTAGACTTTGAGCTCCATTGACTTCTATTCATACCCCATGCAGTTTTGTACACTGTACTACACTCTAAAAAAAATGCTGGGTTGTTTTAACCCAATTTTGGGTCAAATATGGACAAACCCAGCCATTGGGTTATGTTTTTAAATTAAAATTTTAACCCAATGTTTGAGTTTGTCCATATTTGACCCAAAATTGGGTTAAAACAACCCAGCATTTTTTTAGAGTGAAGTACAGTGTTATTAATATTTGTGGTTATTGTTTATTAAAAACAGAGTCCCTAAAGCATGACATCATGTCTAGTTTGTTCTGGTGTGTGAAGTAATATTGAAAAGGTCCTTGGCTTAAGGCTAAAAATACACAATGTAATTAAGGGATAGTGCTTTTTATCACAAAATAAACCTCAACAGAGTGATTGAGAATATGTACCTGATAAAATAATATCTTGTATCATCCTGAAAGTTTATTTTGCAATGTCAAGCTAAAAAGTTCATAAAGAGATGAAACTAATCCATATGAATTGAGTGTTTTAGTCCAAAAGACCAACGAGATATGATGGTTTTATATGATGAACAGATTGAATTAAGGTTTTTATTCACATATAAACATTAATCAACTACTCACACATCAATTGTGGTAAATTGAAGCTCAAGTTCGCTTGAAGTGCAGGAACCAATGAGGTTCATTATTGTGCTTCAGCCAGAACCAATTAATTTTGTTTTCTAAACTTTAATCATAAAATAAACAAACAACAAACACTATAGTGGCAGGGCCTCGGACAACTCCCGCACAAACATAAACAAAACCCAATGTAAAGTCCAGGCCTGATCCTCTCTCATCCTTCTTGTGCATTGCGATTCTCGGAAATGAAAAATGTCACGATTCCTAAATTATTAGTATCGATACTTTTATGAATGACCGCGTTCCAGATTTGTAAGAGACGTATTTCATGTTGGTGTCGCTTTCAGTGCCTTTCTATGGACGTCTGTGTTTTTTCTCCTCATGCACGCAGCAAAGAAGCTGCAGCTGTCATGAGATAAACACTACAGCGTGTGCGAGCACAAGTGATTCTGTGGCCGTCGGTCAGTTTTGGAGTGGCAATCCGGAGTGTCGGGAATTTTCCCGGTGGACCGGTAGTGTTTCGAGGCCGCGAGGGCCGGTCTGACAGTCATACATTACAAGTTCTTAGCAACACTATCCGCTTATCAGCACTCGCGTCACCGGCCTTGCTCCGTTCCCACAGCTCTCTGCCCCGCCCTGCGTGCCACAATCTGTTCATCATATAAAGCAATCGAGTAAAACTTTGACTAAAAATTTCAATTCATATGGATTAGCTTTATGATCGCTTTGTGAACTTTTTGAAGTGTCAAAGTGTCAGTTTGCGTAGCTGTCAATGGAGATCAAAAAGATCTTCATTTGTGCTCCAAAGATGAATGAAAGTCTTACGGGCTTGGAATGATTTGAGGGTGAGTAGGCCAAATTAATGACAGTATTTTAATTTTGGGGTGAATCATCCCTTTAAATAAACAGGCCTACTATTCTTTTGAACTTTTTATTCCTCAAGTAATCTTGATCAGTTTTCAAAAAAATATTAAGCAGCAAAACTCTTTACATTGATAATTAATGTTTCTTAAGCACCAAATCAGCATATTGAAGGATCATCATTGTAGACTTTTGAACAGTAATGGTGTCATTTATTATGCGAGTAAAACATGAGAAACATGAATCTTGTTAGGAAGGACTGTTTATTTTGATTGCCATATGTGCTGTAAATATTTAAATGGTGTTCAACAAATGTACTAGCTTCCTGAAATGTTAAAATACAGTCTGAACTTTAGTATAGTAACTTAACGAGTTTCCTAATTTATCGTTTTTAGAAAGAATTGTGTAGTACTAAAAGTGGGAATTATCCTTGTCAAGTGATTGTTTTGATGGAGAATAAAGCTCAGGGGATCAGTGTGACTGTGATAAATGTACATTTTGATGTTTATTTTACAGTATTTGTGGGAGTGAGATTAAACATATATGAGTTAGAGAGATGGGGAGAGAGAGAAAGATGTGCTTCTGATTGGATTAGAGGCAGTGCCGAAGAGACAGAGAGAGAGAGAGAGAGAGAGAGAGAGAACGAACGAGAGGGCACGAATGCAGTTTACACATTAGCCCAGCTGCCAGAAATTACAGCAAGCTCAATTCTGCCGGACTGGAACAGGGGGCCGTGAAACGGGAGGATGGCAAGGACGCAGAAAATGAAGAGAACCCAGCATTGCATTCTCTTGGGAAATGATCTGAGGTGAATAAACAGAAACCGCAGAAGAGGCTGAGAAAGAGAGAGGCAGAACGGGGGAGCCGAGGAGGAGGGGAGAGCCTAGCGTTCTCTGAGGTAGCGCCTGTGGAGCCTGCTCATGTCGCTGCGTGTGTGTGTGTGTGTGAGTGCATGTGTGCTGACATGTTGATTTATAGCTGCATGTGTAATTCTCGAAGCCCTCCCATTAGCAAGTCATTTTGCATTTATGCATATGACCGGGACTGATGCGGGGAGCTACTCGGACACTTGAGCTCATTTGATATTTTCGTTTGATCTTCTTCGTTTTCGCTCTTTTTTTTTTTTTTTGCACACATTCATAATTTCAGTCCTTTTGGCATTCTTTTGAGGTTTGTCTCTTTCTCTCTCTGCCAGTGCAGTAGACTTTCACCGCCTCAACTGAAGGAAAAGAGCCATGGGTGAGTGTGTCATCTGTTCTTCATCCCTTCTTTTTTTTGCATGATGCACTCTAAGTTGACTGCAATAATTTTCCTCATCCCTCTTTTTTTCCCCAAGTCCCCCCTTTTTCTGTTGTCCATTAGCCATTTTATCCCCTTTCATCATCTCCTCCTACTCTTTCTTCCTCTCTTTCTTTCATTCTTTCCCTCATCTGTCACGGTCCCCATCTGCCCATCCCTCAACAGCCATTAACAACTGTCTGTGTCACAGGAGCACTCAACCTAAACCAATGCGCTCAGGTCAAACACATCCTTCACACATGCTTCGCACAAACACACACGCAGTACTCGGATATCGTCACGGCAGTATATGCGTCTGCCGGTGAACTCTGCTTGTATTTCATTGGTGAGGCAGGGAGCGTCCAGATTTATGATGATTGTGACAGTTTATCCATGATGCTGTGCTTTTTCTGGCTATGCTACCACTGCCTCTATGTGTGTGTGTGAAGGTTATTTAACTTAAAGTCCCCGTGAAATCAAAATTGAACCTATTTACTTTGTTAGCGCATATTACTAGTCTTGTGGTGAACAATCAATCTGTGCAAGTAAATATATATATATAAAAAAATGTTTTACCTTGGTAATCTTTAATCAAAATCTGAAAAGTTACTTCCGGTCTGGAATGTTTCACAGTTTGGGTGGGGAAACGCTTAACCACTCCCTTCAAACCGTTAGTTTGCTATGAGCGAGAGATGGAGAGGAGGAGCGCTAGAGTAAAATCCTGCCCTCTGTTCAATATTCCGTTTCACTTGGAAATACGTCACAGCACTGGAGAAAAATCGTTTGCAACTTCCGGTTCACGGGGACTTTAAGCACCTGAAAGGAAGGGGAAACATACAACCACAAATATAAACCACTAATTTTGCGTAAAGCAGCTATTATTTTATGGTGTACACACTTGTAACGAAGAAATATCATGATCTCTTCAATATCTCAAGAGACTAAATTGAGACCAAACAGAGACTACTCAGAGATTCTCAGAAGTTTAACAAGAGAATCAGTATGAAATCAAATATTTCTCATCAAATTCTAGTTATGCTATCCACATTAATTGAATAGCTGTATATATGTATACATTTTTATTTCCCCAAGTTATCTGAGACCTCCATTAAAACTCCTGAGTGATGAAAGAGCATCCACTGAGCAACAGGATTCTCTCAGTTGCTAGTCTACAATAATATGAGGATCTCACCTAGGGTTGGGTATCGAGAATCGAGTATCGATTGGAACCGAGACTAACTATTCGTTTTTCCCGGAATCGTTCAAAAGTTAAAATTTCGATTCCTATATTCACAGTCCGCCGAGCGGAAGAAGAAACCGCTGAACAACACCAACGAAGAAGCGTCTACCGGAAGTGTTGGCATAACCGCGCGAGTCGAACATGAGTACCTTACGTCGCCGATCCAAAGTGTGGCTTCACTTTTCTAAAAAAATAACGAAATCTCGGCAAAATGCAAAATTTGTGACAAAAGGAGTATTTTTACAGAAGGAGTATTTCCTTCAGAAAGGCCGTTGGTTAGCAAGGTTAGCTAAACTTTTTTGACCCTGCCTCTTAAAAGAATCGGAATCGAGAATCGTTAGGAACCGGAATCGAAACAAGGAATCGCAATCGGAATCAGAATCGTTCAAATTCAAACGATACCCAACCCTAATCTCACCCCCTCTTGACAAAACAGATATAAGCTCAACCATTCCTAAACAATTGTGAAAGTACAAAAAGGATAGCAAAAATATAAATCAGCGATGTTGGGAAAGACGATTTATCAGAACCTGGCTTATCGCCTGCGTGACGCGATTCATAAATTACCCTGAAATAGAGTTGTGTGAGAGTGAAATACCATTGTTGTCTTTACCTCTCTGTAACTGAGATGATGCAAAGCGTTGCATTTATCAGGGAATTCTTCAGAGCTGTGAATCCTTTTCTGAGCCGCTATCTCAGACAGAGAGGGGCAGGAATAGAGGATGACAAAGCAGACCGAATTATGTTTCACTGTACCACATGCGAGAAGTGCAAGAGAAAAACGAATCTCGTTTTCAACCTCTCACCTTCGCTTGGTTTCTTGGCACGATGCTCTGACTCGCTCGGAAGCATTAGATCACACAGAGAAAAGTACAGAATGTGATCCCTGTGCCCTTTGCTGAAGTCTTTGTTAATATGTGTGCTGAAGGTACAGAGTTTGATGTCTGCAAGGGCTCAGACCTATTGATTTAACATGACAGCTTTTAAAATGGTGTAATAGGCCTTTGAGTAGGCAAAAATGGATTGCTTTGGCTCAATGCATGATCGGATAATCCTAAAAAGTGCCTCGATTTACCTGTTACATGGCATGTTTTGCAAGGACAAATGCTCTGGCATGCATTTGAAAAGACCGTGTTTTCCCTAGAGAGTCAAATTTATTTCAAATCTTTCCTGTCACACAGAAACCAGAAAAACAGGATCCAACATCAAGATTAAAAATACATCTTTCTCAAAATAATTGTAAAAGCAATACTTTATATCAGCCAAACAAACCAACACATTCTCATCCCAAGACGTCATCTAACTGATCTTTTGACCACACGTGAACATCCGACGTTTTAGGGTACCCTTTAACGTCAGTTAGGTGACGATCCTAGGGCGCTTTACCTTAGCGTCAGTTAGATGATGCGGGTAGGGTAGGGTTAGGATTAGATAGCGTCATCTAACTGACGTTAAAGGGTGCCCTAAAACGACGGATGTTGACGTATGGTCAAAAGCGTCAGTTAGATGACGTCTTGGGATGAACAACCCAACAATTGTGGCCTGTACACACCTAACCCAATACAAATTATATTCGTTTAAATGAGTCCAAACAAATCAAATTTGACTACAGAGCCAAACCATAATGCATTTTAATGGATTAATGTGTTTACAGCGTTAAGCACTCAATTCTCATGCCATGATGTAAAAAGCATCAGCTTGTGAGTGTTCATGTTTAAAAGCACAGTAGATTGACAGATTTAGAAACATGGCAGCCACTTGACCAGTTTCCCCTCTCTCTTTATTCCAGCTATGGCTAACAGGCTTACGTAACGTTCAAGCATACAAGGAGCCAGTGTTTCACTAATATTTATCACAGAACATTTTACATATGGTCCCTCGTAACACCACTTCACTCTGAAAATATAATCACAGCGATTGTTCTCTGCTCATTGGCTTCTCACTTTACCTGAAGGACAATTGGCTGTGATTACTTTTTATATAGTTAAAAACTGAGCTTGAAGCTTTTATGTACAGAAGGATAAGAGGTAAGATTATATTGAAATGTTAGTGACAGAAGAACACAAAACAAATTTTGTGAAAACTGAAAGAAAGGACTTGGGAAAGGTATAGGGAGGAAGAATGTCAATGCAAGGACACCACCATAGAGTAAGAGGTGTGCGGTTGCACTCATAAAATGAGTAAGTAATGGAAAAAGACCATTGCGCCCCACTCTACATCCCTGGCATTACATCATTATGTCTTTTCCTATTTTAATTATATGTTCCTAATTGTCTGTTCCTTCGGCTCCAGGCTGTTTCCTGCACTGTAAAGGACAATTTCTCCACCCTTGACGCGTCTTAACGCTCCTGCCTGCTGACAGCAAGTTCTTCTTCCAAACATCCCCAGACACTCTCAGAATGCACCTACTTTCCTGCCAGTGACAGGATCGCAGAGACTTAAGGATATCTGGTTTTAAAAAGTCGGCTGAGGAAGTAGGACCGAAAAGAAAGAACAAATCCTTGATTAGGATTTTTTTTTTTTTAATCACTTGACGTTTACTACTACAAAACCATCCAGCGCTTTAAGTTGGAACGGAACCCTGAGGGGCCAAAGGAATAAGTGTCATCCAATCACACCAAGATCCTTTGATTTCATATCGCACAGAGAGGATCCTAAGCGTACCATTCAATGGGAGATAATTGAACTTCCTGCCTAGCAGGCAGCTGAAAATGGAGAAGTAGAGGTTCAAGTGGGAGATCAAGTTCAAGAACCCCACCACTCAGGATCAGATTGAAGGCTGGTTCTGACGGCGACCTTCCACCGATCAGTGCGCTTTTCTTTTTTTCCCCCTGTTTGTCCAGTTCTGAGAAGGGAAAACGGATTTTTGGGATTGTTTTGTGCTAGACCTCAGTCAGATCTCAACTTTTAGACTGACATTCAACAGTTTAACTGTGAAAAAAAATAATAAGAAATTGGATTGAGAAGGCTGTTCACCAGCAATCTGGGGAAAACAAAGGACATTTTATTAAATGGCTTTTATTTCACTATTCAGATTCAGGTAAACTGAAAGACAGAAGGAGAACAAGACCAAAAAAAGCGAAAAGGGGAGGGAGGGGGCCAGATGCCACTGATCGCTGTTAACTCCAACCTTTTGATAAGTTAAGCTTCTTTTTCCATTTTCGTCGTCTTTTCATCTTGAAAATTAGATTTCTTTTGTTCTTTTTTTTTTTTCAGATGACCCTTACATCTGTAAGGGAGATCGTAACACATTGCTGTGACTGAGATAAGGTGGGCGGAAAAGGAGGGAGAAGCTTTTTTTTCCCTAGCCGAAAAAGAATGTTCTGTTGCCTTCTCGTTTTTGCAGTTTTGGGTATTTATCTTGTCACTCCATCTCCGTTTTCATCCCCCTCTCCATGCCTCTGGGAGTGCATAGGAGGGAATTGAGTTATTTCATCTCCGCTGGAATTTTTTTTATTTGCTTTCCCGACTGATTTTTCTTCTGTACTTCTGTTTGCCCCAGACAAAATGCTGTTGTATCTAAAGTCAAAATCAGGAACCTGATAGTGTTTGGCACAAGATTCCACAAGGAGAGCCAGGCAACACGAACAAGAGACGGAAATCTTCTGAAGCCTAACCTCCGATCTTAAAAAGCGTGAGATCTGCTTCCCCCTTCCCTCTCCACCACCACCACCACCCCCTTTCCCGTCCAGTTTCAGACGTGTCCTCGAATATTCCCTCCTTTTTTCCCCCGGAATCTGTCAGCATTCCCGACGGGACGCAGCCAGCTTGTATCCGTGCCAACCCTTTGATATTAGCTCCCGGTGTCGTCTGCTTCATTCTGTGAGTAGATCGCACTCTCTCCTCCTGTCTGTGCTAGTGTGTGCAATCATGTGTGCGTGTGTGTATTTGACTTTGGCTCCATATGGTGTTCAATCCCCTGTGTAGCTTATCTATCATCTGTTTATGTGTGTATGTCTGGGTGGGTGTTTGACTTGAATGTGTACGCTACGCTAACGGAAAAATTAGTCAAGGTTAATGGCACAGGCTTCTGTGCTGGGCACAGTGCACAGCTTGTTTTCCGTATTGGACAAATATATGTTCTGCTGCAGATACAGTGTGTTTGTAGAGGCACGTATATAGCAGGTCTCGCAAGCGTAACGTTCTTGTGCACATGTACCTTGCTGGCTATAGGGTGACAAGACCATGATTAGTTTTCGGAGGTTGTGCGCTAATGAATGCAAATTGGTGTAGATGCGCTCAATGGAAGATAAAAATCATTTTGTGGCGTGTCTCTTTATAAAACAAGCACAGTAGAGTGGCATATTTATTCTCTGCTAGTCAAAACTGCACTAATAGACGTGTCTTCGGCATGAAGTTTTTGTTCAATGGAGAGGTTTATGGAGTAAGCTGTGACGATAGCTATTCATTCGTAATAAATGTGATTGACAATGCTGTTGGGACGAGAGATGATTGTGTTTTTTTTGCTTTGCCCCCCAGATTGAACAGCTGTGGTCTCAGTCTCTTCTCTCAGCCTTTTTTCCATCACTTGCTCAATCAGTGTCTGGACCTCACTTGGGCCCGGCCAATAATTGAAAAGCTATATTGATATTCTGCTCGGGGGAGATGGAGGGGGAAAATACACTTTTATTTACAGTTAATTACATGGAATGGGGTACAAAAAATTGTTTGTGAAACATAAGTTTGGAGCATCCTGTCCAGTTAATTGTTTCAAAGCTGTTAGCTGGGCTTGAGAAGGTTTTTTTGGTTTACTATGGGCTGACCATGACTTGTTGCCTGGTTGGTAATAAGCTTTGGGGAGATGAAAAATGATGCTGACAGGACAGCAGTCTGGACAAAAATGGGGGTTTTGTGTGGTGGGCCACCGTTCAAAGAGGATGAACATCTCAAATGACAGTTGAATTTAAAATATATTAAAAAGGAAACCAATTGTGGTGGTGTACTTTTCAAAGAATCCGTTTTAAGCCAGGGCTTGAGTGATTGATTTACCACACACATTGTTATTAATCATTTAAAAGGGCAGTTTTGTTCCTAAAGGCAATGTAGTTTTGTAAATGTCTTTATTCTCATTTGCTTTCTGTGGAATGACACCTGTTGGCTGCCTCCTGTTGAAAGTGTGTGGTTGCTAAAGGTATTGCTAGTCTCAGTAAGATTGGGCCCTTTACCAAAACGCCATGTGTTCCTATCTGTAGTCCTGGCACTGTACAGGTCAGCTGCTGCCATACTGGTCAACATCTGTTGCACTCTTGATCATAGCAGGTCCAAGTTATATTGCTTGTGAATTGCAGGTTCATATTTTTCTTATTCATTCCAGAGAACTCTTGCAAAGAACTCTTTGTGCAAAAAGATACTGCAACACATACAGACTGCAATAAAAATCATAAAATAAAGATTTGGAATATCTGCTGTTCTGCCTACAATAACTTTCTAGCAATGCAAATATAAATATAAAAATACAAATACACAACGTTATGTCGAAATGTCCGATTTGGAGAGTATTCAAGTAAACTATGTTGGTTATGTCTTAAACGGTTTTGAATGTATCGGATGTGCATCAGTGTAATTGGATCTGCGTGTCATTGGACATGATTTGATGTCTTAAAGTGACAGTGGGTAGTAAACCTAATGCGGTCTGTGTCGTAAAGCAACAAAAGAAAAAGAGAATAACATTTACTGCTCATCAACAGCTTTAATAAGGATTGATTATATTTAATTCATAGAAATAAATATGTCTGCTGCTTTAGTAGTCTGTCTTTTTATAATTTAGTAGCATGGAGAACAAGTATATTATATCTATTTTGTTGTCCATTAGTGGTGTAGTCCGAACATAAAAGTGGTTTACTATTAAACCAGTCATAGTATAATATTACATCCTTGTGTAGTCCCTACCACCCATTTATTGCACTTCTTAAAAAGCTATTTCTTTAAAAGAAAACATCCCCATTTGCTTTGAACTTTGTAACTTTGTAGATGTTGTTTAGGCTCAAACAGCAACATTACACACTAAGTAAAGTTAGGAAAATGAAATCATAATCATCCACCCTTTAAACTGCAACAGTTTTAAACAACAAAAACTAACACTAAGACTAATAAAACTAATACTAAACTAATGTAAGTAAAACGTTCTCAAGCTTACTGCAGGCAGAGGCAAGTAAACAGTCTAATTATTAATTATAAGCAAAAGAACAAATAACGGAATTAAACAAAATAGTTTTTCTGATAGGTCTAAGGCTACTACAGAAATATCCTACAGACATTTAATAAAGTAATAAATGTAAAAATAAAATCTCACCATAATCTTAATTTTCTGTGCATTAAATATACAATGATTAAAGTAAATACATGGCACAGATGATTGGTTGCTGTTGCATCTGCGTCCATCAGCTGATAGCAGTATGCAGCGCGCTTTCAGAATGCTTTCAGAAACAAGCGGGCTAAATGTTTTTAAATAGCGTCATGTCAACAGTCCAGCAGCAGCGGTCTATTGTATGTCATTGCTGCTTTACTGTTAGCAGGGATATAAAACAGTTAAAGTGATATAAGCATTTGCGATTTAAACTTTGTTTACCGTATTTAGCGGTATAACTTTAATTATGACGCATCCTTTTATTTCCGAAAGCAATGTTTTAATTAGCTATCGTAATGTGTGAGGTTAATTCAGATGCTTGTGTGTTCGGGTCACGCTAAAAGAACAATCAATACAGTTAAACTAAGCATGTTTTTAGACATATGGAGGAACTTACTAAGCGTAAGCGTAATGCAGTTGTGTCTATGCAGAAGAAATGGTCTATTGTTTGTTTTGAGTATATGCTGTCTAAGCTATGGATGAAGTTAAAGTATTCACATTCAATGAGAATTATATTTTATATATATATATATATATATATATATATATATATATATATAAATTATATTTCATGGGTAATGTTTCATTTAGCTATTCTTAACATGTTTATGGAGCATCAGAGCACATTGTCATTCATTATCGCTCCTAATGGCTTTTTATTTATCAAATAAGAGTATGGGTTATGTAATTACCAAATGACTTAATTGATGATATTTGCTGGGTTCCCATCTCAATCAGCTTGCAACGTTATATCTATTGTTCACGAGAACACATACCATGCATTTCTAGCATTAAGCCGATAGGCAAGGTAGCCAAGGCACACGTAGCCTTGAGTCACTGGTACTAAGGTAGCCAAGGTGTACATAGATAGTAAAACATGCTATATGTACATAAAACAGTACATGTCTTGCTGATAGATCTGTTTTAGGGGGAGTTTTTTCCTATCCCTTCATGTCTCCTGTCTATGTCATTCATTACTTGTATTGTTGTCTATTTCTCCCATTACCTTGTGCAACTGTGTAGGGTGAAAAGTCGCATTACAAATGTGTATCAATAGTCTTTTCAGCTGTGCACAACAGCTTTATTGGCATTGGCTGTACAACTATAAATGATCTGTTTAGATTTGTGTTGAAGAGTACTTTGGTCTCCTGCTTTGATGGGGGGTTAAATCATGTATGATACATTTGCAGTAGCATGTCTGTCTTGCTCTGTGAATGTATTGGCAGTAGCTAGTCTCGGTATTCTAGTCTGCAGCAGTATAGCAGATCTATTCCACCAAGACCAAATACATTAACATGCTAATCTCTAATACCATACAATCTCCTGAGAGTTGTCATGACAGAAGTAATGTTATTCAGTCAAGAGCGGTGTGATGATTTTTTTTTTCTTTTGTTGTTTGATTAACGTTAATGACAGACAGACAGCAGCAGGTTTATTAAGCTACTGTCACTACGACCTGGTACACGGATCATATATACTGACACATATGATTTTCTTCCAACTGCTTAGGTTCACTTATGACATAACTTAGAGTAACTGTTAATAACTGTTTTTAGATCAGAGTCCAAGTCCAAGTAAAAATGCATCCAAATCTTTGACAAGTCAGCTAAAATTTGTACCCCAGCTCTACTTATTTTCTTTGGCAAATGCAAGGTGTTTTTTGTAGAAGATAAAACCAATAAATTGTATCTTTACTGGTATACAACCTCTCAATCCAGCCGCTTATAGCCATTGGCTTACAGTTCAAGATGAAATTGGAGGTTGGAGGTCTAATCCAGGACTTTAGAAGCTGCATTCTAGTGATTTTCATCCTTCTGTCAAAATGTTCACGTAGTCTTCCTAGACTAGCTACAGCACTTTACATTTTGCATGGTAGTGGTCTCATGGTGCTTTGAAATAATTATATGGATAGTTCCTTTTATCTGGCAATTTTCACTAAAAACCAAAAAATAACATCCAATAATATAGCTAATACTTCCCATATAGGGATTTGCTCTATTATAGTCTGGGAAAAATGAGTGCAAGCATGGTATGACCACTTGGCCAAAAATGATGTCCGCACAATTTGGTATGTTTCAATGCTACATGATACAATGATACAATTTCATGATACAATTCGTGCACTTCAGGCACAACTTGAATACAATATAAATATGGAATATGTGTATATATATATATATATATATACTATATATACATATTCCATATGGAAACAATACAATGGTGGAAACAATAATATATATATATATATATATATATATTAGGGCTGTGCAAAAGTTAATTGCGATTAATCGCATCCAAAATAAAAGTCTGTGTTTACATAATATATTTGTGTGTGCTGTATATAATTATTTTGTATATATAAATACCTATGCATGCATGTATATATTTAAGAATTATTTGCGCTTAAATTCTGTATATTTTTATTAATACATAATCTATATTATATAAATATAAATATTTTATATATGAATAA